CAAAAACATTCATTTTTTGAGAATGAATAAATTACAAAGTCTAATAATCCTTAAAATTTCAAAGCTAACATGCAAATGTTACTTGAACCAAATAGGATTATAAAAAAAGGCTAAAATATCAAAAGCTTTATAGTAACTAAAAACAAGAATTTAAATAATGATAAGTCTAGAGATATTGAATAACAATATCAAGAGTATAGTACAAGTAAAGTATTTTCAAATCTTAAATATAATAAATAGGCTAACTAAGATGAGTCTTTCATTAATTCTTAAGAAAAAATCACATCTATTAATGATATCTAAAATAGCAGTATATCCCCTACTGAATAAGAAACGATATTCAATGAATACTATAATACTAATATTATAAATAAACTTAAAAATAAATTAAAAGGGAAAAATAGAAAAAATAAGCTAGCTACAATTTAAACATCAAGTCTCTCCAGAAGTCTATAATTAAGTAGAGAAAATAAAACAATGCCATATATTCAAATTCATTCAAGATTAAGTAACAATAAAGGGATGATTTAGAACCTTTCAACTCATTAAAAAGAATTATAAACTACTTCTTAAAAATAATCATTACATCAGAATTTTAATCATCATATGACCCAGCAGATTTTATCTAATGAAAAGATTGATTTGAAAATCAAAAGACAGAGTGAAGTTAAACCATATAACATTTCGATAACTAAGAAATATATCAACAAAGACAGTGTTCAATCGGCTCTACTAGGACAAAAACGATATGAAGATTTTCTTAAGGCCGATGAAAAAGAAAAATACGAATTATACAAAGACAATCTTGAGAAGAGCAAGCAAAATTTACTTGCTGGTGTCTCCCCATATCCAAGAACTAAAAAATAATGATAATATCTTTCCATTGATAATGATTAAGTTTAAAAAAGTTATTATTTACTTATTAATTAATATACTTATAATTATAGTAGTTACCGATTTATAGAGCTATACATTCTATTGGGGTTTTGGGGTTTTGGGGTTTTGGGG